AATCGACTCAACTCATCGAGTCCCTCTCTGGACTTGCCGAGTTCCTCAGTTTATTTAGGCCATCTTAAAGGATTAAGCCACTACTCTTCAGATCTAAGCTTCATACATCTAATATACACTAAAAATGTCCTTTTAAGGGTAAAGTTTCCAACTTTACCCGTTAATACCTTTCCTTAATGGGTTTAGCTCAAACCCTAACTCCTTAGGACCTAGATCTTGGTCCATAAGCGATCCATACTCCAAACTAAAGCCTACAAACATATGTCTAGACCCTAAACACTACATGGACACGTAAAGCTTCCACCTTTCACTCCATGCATGGCCTTTTGGAGCTTAAAATGCAGAAATGACATCCTATGGCTTTCTTGGGGCTTCAATGGCCATAAAGCTTGCACCTTTATGCCATGAAAGCCATCTATAGTCCCAGATATGAAGGTATACTCACTTGGGACGTCCATATCCCAAAGATCAAGCTTCTTGGACCAAAAACCCAATAAATTGAAAATAAGGAGATCTAAGAAACTACTAAGCAAGTTAGAGACTTGATTACCAGAAAATGATGAGGATGAAAGGAAGTCTTTGGATCTACTATCTTCTCCTTGAATCCTCTAGCTTCATCTTCTTCCACAAGCTTCAAAACACACAAAGTTTACTAAAAAATGGCTCACAAGCTTACAAATGCATTATGGTTTCTGAAAACTAGGGTTTGGGACTTGGAGGCTGGAAATGAGGCCAGCAAGTGGGATTAGGATGCTTAAATAGGGTGCAAAACCCCGAAATTAGGGTTTCACTCTGGCAGCCCCACTCGTCGAGTCGAGGCTCTCAACTCGTCGAGTAGGTGACTTAAAACCCTGCGTCAAATCTGGTTCTTACTCGACGAGTTTGGGTCTCCCAACTCGTCGAGTTGCTCTATAAAAGTGAATAATTTATGATTAAATGCGTACCAAGAACCAGACGGTACAATTAAGAAGTGCATTTTGCCCACGAGGTGTTTGTCAAAAGTCATCCATCATGTCAATGTGAATTTTCATAAAACTTCTATGATCTAAATATGAAGACGAATTTTAAGCCACATAGATGGGATGCAGATTCTTACGTTTCGAGTATGCCATTGGTTTTGTTTTCTTTTTGACTGGCTACATTCAACCTTGTGTCATAAGTCTTTTAGACTTGTAATATGACATGACTATTAAGCTTCAAAGGGTAAGTCCATGCCATGATTTTATCTATAATTTACACATAAAATTGAAGTTTTTTGATCAATGATCTTCATTTGTTCCTTTTTATTATTAATATGAAGCGGGACTCTGTCGGGCAATAGCATTTTATGACTATGACAATCACATTCAGCTACACATTACATCATAGTGAGTAACCTACTTGATTTACCAAAATTTACCCTTATCACTGGAATGAGAAATAGTCATCTATTTGCTATGATTTAATGTAATAAACCATTATTATAGGAATTTGATTTTTTGTGATGGTTTATTTCATTAATGTATTTATTCCATTCCCCTAAATGTTCCATTCGATTCATTTATTTGTCTCACACTCAAGGACATCTTAGATATTTATTAAAATAGTCAAATAGTTTACTTAAACTGTGATACCTAACATTTTAGGGGATTTGCAACTAATTAATATGATTTTTAATGTCATCAGGTGGTTTATGGCATGACAGACCAATGAGTTGTAATAATGTTAAAAAATGACCAAGTGAAATTGACTCTTATACCACTGAAAATATCAATAAGATTTTTGTTGGTAACAAATGTGATATTTTTCAAAATAAATTTGTTGACCTTACTTGATAGATGAAGTCATGTAGCTTGAGGAGTCTACCCAAGATTTTTTATGTGCTTTTATTATTATTAATATTATTCAACGATTTAATCGCAAACACTTTTGTTTTCTCTTTGTATTTTAAAACAATATTTATGGTCACCAAACACGATCTTGGGAATAACTTTTACAAAATTGTGAAAGGTTTAGCCGAGCTTAAATGGTCCAAGTAGCATTCACTCAAAAACAGGGAAGGTAGGTTGTCATTTGAAGTTACTTCACAATAAGTATATGGAGCTTTATGATAATTTGTGTAATAGTCTTTGCTATTTTTATGTTAAAAATTTGAGGTTTGGAGTTTTTACCATCTTTTCAAAACTAGAATATTCATATAAGTACGAGGTTATGCTTTTGTTAAGGTAAGCTTTACATTAATGCTTCTCATTTGCTTTATTACTTAGATAGTATCTTATATTTTTTTTTATAGTTTGAACAATCCTATGATGCTGAAGATGCCATCAGGTGTCGTGATGGCTATGACAGTGCTCATGGTTAAGCTTCATAATACTGCTACATATTAGTGAAAAGTAATCTGAATTACTGAATCTTTTATGCATCATCACTCATCAAGTCTTCCTACTTCTTGCCTATATTGTCCCTCTTTGTTATAACCAATGAGCGAGAGCTATAAATGGTGAAGAAATAAATCGAATCCACTTCCAACTAGCTGCTTCCCAATGACGAAGATGATGTATTTCAAAAGATGGCTTCTTGGACTTTTTGTACCCATGAATGAATTAAATTCCAAAAACGCAGCTACTCTATATTACATTGTTACAGAAGTATTTTCAATTTTTATTTTAGGTTTTTGAATGGGAAACCATAACTTCTCACAGCCTTAATGTTATACTTCATGGAGTTAGCATTCTTCCATACAATGGCTACAAAAGTACACAAGAAAATAAAAATATCATAATGTTCAATTCCTTTTCAAATAAATATAATATTAAAAGTCTCATCTGTCAAATTAAAATAGGCAAGACTCGACTTCTACTTGGCCCGATCTTTTCAATGGGTCACGATCCAACTCGTTCGACTGACCGCGTTGGACTGTGGTTTTAACATATTTCATATTATATAGTTGTCTTGAGTATATCCTATTATATTTTAATACACATAATATTATGTTGATGTAATTATGAAATATGATAAGTTTTATATCATTGCCCTCTTTTTTTTTTCTTTTTTCTTTTTATAAATTATATGGTGGTGGTACCAACAACTAAGGAGGTGATATGATGTCCCCAATTAATTTAAATGTAGTAACTATTTGCGCAAAAGAACTAATCGTCTCTAGAAACTAAAGTGATGATGACATAAAAACCCTTAAATTTACAAGTTTTTGTCGGGTTTTTTTTATCATTTTGCATATTTTAGGTTCATTAAAACCGGATGTTTGCTATTTTTTCACTTTTACCTTCTGGTTTATTAAACACTTACATTTGGCAAAAATGTTCGATTTAACCATTTTTTTGGTTCATAAAAGCCCTTAACTTTAGTTTTCGGATTCATTAAAGTCTGTAAGATTGGCATATGTTTTCAGTTTTAATGGATAAATTTGCAAAATTGATAAAATTGAAAAGAAAAAAAAAAGTTGCAAGTTTGAGGCATTAATGGATCTAAAATACGACTTTGGGTAAGACCGATAAAAACTTGCAAACTTGAGGATTCTTATGGCATTTGTCAGAAACTAAATTCTGAAAAAACAATTTACACCTGTCGTTTGGCACAGGTATATATATATATATATATATATATATATATATATATATATATATATAATATATATATATATATAGGTTTATTTGAGACCACTATATTTTGTGAGACATTGGGACGCAATCCTAACCATTCATTTTCGAGATAAAAAAATATATTTTTAAAATACAAAATAATTGAAAATTTTAGAAAAAAAAATTTAATATTATTTTTGTCATTTATATTTTCCAAAAAAATAAAAAATAAAATAAAATATATAAAAAAATAAAATAAAATTATCGTTTTTTTGAAATATCTGTGAGATATTGTAATAGAATATTCTAATATAAAAATTACAATAAAACTGTTAGAATATTAACATAATCTATTAGAATATTAGACTACAAATATTCAAACAATTTGAATAGAACATTAGAATATTCTACAAATTCTAACAATCACAGTAGAATAGTAGAATATTCTAAAAATTTAAAATTTTCATTTGAATATCTATAGTATAATATTCTATTAAAATATTTCATGTACATTTAAAAAAAAGAACGGTACTTTTTCTAAGTTTTTATATTTTTTAATTATTATCTTTTGTTAAATAAAATGACAAAAATAATAATTAAAAAAGAAGTTTTGGATTTTTTCTTATATTTTGCATTTTAGATTTATTTATTTTTTAATTTTTTGATCTTCAAGATCAGTGATTAAAAAAACCGTATATCTCTCTCTCTCTCTCTCTCTCTCTATATATATATATATATATATATATATATATATATATATATATATATATATATATATATATATATATATAAAAGAATATTCTAAAATTTTCCCTAAACATTATGATAAATATGAAGCGATGCTAAACAAGGTCGTTGATCCGTACCCATCAAAACAAGAGTATTTTTTCTTCTAAATATTTGTCAAACAAGGCATTGGTTTGACAATAATAGAAAAACCTAATAATTTATTCCTTACATATATAAAAACTAGGATTTTAATCATGTAATATTTTAAATAAAAATTGTTAAACAGACAATTCTAAATATAAATGTTTTGTTCAGTAGTGTCTACTTAGATTACTTGGAAATCGTGGATTTACTTTAGTAAATGGACCATTGTAGTTGGACCTAGCTATGGCTCATGGCCCACATTTATGGGTTGCTTTGTTTCTGAAGTTCCAGTCATTCAAGGACATTTTTGGGTACCATCATTTGTAATAATTTATTTCAGTTATAAATATGCATTGCAGACATTAAATTCGTTGATTTAAATGATGATGTGGATATATCTTATAATTGTTTATTTATTAAGTAATGGTTATATAAAATCTAATTCATCTAAATTAATATTTAAAATATATATAATTTTATAATAAGTCCGATTGTGAAATACATATATGGATTACTATTTGTTAACATGAAATTTTTTATTTTAAAAATAGTTCGATAAAACCAGATATTCGATCGACATATATCTTTAATCTCTCATACAGGGAGACATATATCTTTCGAGACTACACACTAATTAACAAGAATCCATCAACATAAATCTTGAAAACCAAGAAAACATCCGTACAATAGAAATTGTAAACTCCTTAAACTCAAAACAAGAAGAAAGATTCTGACATTCATGCAATGATCAGATAGAATTTGATGGCAAGGATCTCAGCAACGAGGAAGATCCACCGGAGGTGGCAGGAGTGTTTGCGATGGTCCAACTCCATTTTCAACAATGAACGCCATTCCAAAACCCCAAGCCAGATGAGTATCAATATGACAATGCATCAACCATACTCCTGTTTATTACAATTTTAGATTACTCGTAAGATTTTGAGTTATAAAATGATTGAATTAGACAGTTAATTCAAGATGACAATCTTGATGCAACTTACCAGGATTATCGGCAACGAAACGTATGGCAGCCCATCCACCAACAGGGACATCAATGGTGTTCTTTTGTGGTGGATCAATCAAATTAAATCTAGAAGTATCTCGAGAAGGATTAAAGTTACCAAACCCTTGTCCCACAACATAAAAATGGTACCCGTGTAGATGAATAGGATGATCTTCGGTTGAGAAGATGGATGTATCTTGCAACACTATCTGGACATTAGCACCGTATTTCAATTTATAAAGTTTTGTCCTGCGAACAGGTTGCCACAGCCCTCGCGGAATATTTCCGGTGAAATCAAATTTCACCGGAGGTGTCGCCGGAAAATCCGGAGTATACACATTCGGAATCTTGTTAGTGTAAGCTTGAAGTAATGAAGTTTGTGTAGGAAGTACAAACGACACGTTATTCATGCTAGCAGCAAACCGTGTGTTATTTGGTCCTTGACACCTTGGTCCCGGAGAACAGTTAAAAAACCCAAATCCAACCGCGAATAACAAGTTTTCATCTATTTTTAACGGGACATCGGTCTTCCCCGGGCTCTTTATTTGGTTTGAAAAAGCGGTGACAGTGTTGGTGTCGTTGTAGGCGGGGAGTCGTGGTAGGATTGGCGGTGATGTGGCGGATTTGTACTGTAAAATGGCGGTGGTGGTGGTGTTGTCGAATGGGGCGTTTCTTGCGGTGGCATAGGCTCGGGCTGCCATGTAGTAGCGGCCGGGTTTTTGGTTGGCGGTCAGGAGGACGTCGGTGGTTTGACCCGGTCCGACCATGATGACGGTGGTGGTGAATGGTTTGGTGTAGACTGCATCGGTGGCAACCACGGTTAGCTTATGGTTTGCGACTGTGAAGAAGAGTTGTTGATTGAGTGCAGCGTTGATGACTCTTAGGAGAATGGTGTCACCCGAGTTCACAGAATATTTTACGGTACCTACATTGGTATATATCACTTCTATGTATTAGAAGGTTAATAGAAAAAAGGGCAACTTACTTTCATGTATTTGTTTATTATAATATCCTCTTAATATCTCTTACAATTACAGAATTGTATTTTTTGTATTTCTTACTATATTGGTGTTTCTTTGATGAAGACATTGCTTAATCATGTGGATTTTTGTAAATATGGCTCAATTTGGTATTTTTTCATTTAAAAAAATATCAATTTTAAAAATGTTTTTAACCATTATTTATGCAACATTTTATTTGGACAGTTGGAAAAAATAACATGGTCTCACTACTAGAAACTAACAAACCTTGTTGAGAACATTTGATAAGATCACCGGGTTGACCATTGATAGTAAGTGCGTCTGAAATGTTAGGAGCCGCACCACTAAACAACGCTTGTTGTAGAACACTGATGATATCTTGGTTCCACCATTCGCCTGTGACAAACCATCATTTAATGATTATTGAAACTATTAAGATTCTAGATTATTTGGACAATTAGAACAAGTGATTGTTAGATATCTGGAGTTCCTGATTTCCTCCCTAAAAGAGTCTTTAAGAAGAAATGAGAGACTCCAAAAAATTTAAAATCGAACATGACTTGTCTAGTCGATATGGACACATAAGATACAGCATTTCATATATGTTTTCGTACCTAAAACAATAGGGAGTTCTAGTTTCGGTTTAGGGAAAGGGTATGAAGCACCCAACTTAGGGCGAATAACGAGCGCACCATAAACCGTGGCTCTTAGCCATCGGCTATGAGCGTGCCACCACAACGTGCCCTCCTGGTCCTGGATTAAGAACCTGTAAGTGTATGAGCCACCCGGCATGATTGGACATTGAGTCACCATCTCTGGTCCATCGGCCCATGGGTTCTGCATGTGTCTTAGCCCATGCCTAATATACAAAGCACCCAAAATAGCAAAAAACAAACAATTGTTAATTTTTGTTCCAAAAATAAATAAATTTAAACCTCTAAAGTACCAATGAATGGTGACATTATAACGAGCTTTGTTTGTGACTTTGACAATAACATCATCTCCATTATTTAGTTCCAAAGTTGGCCCTGGAAACTGTCCGTTGACCGTTATTATCGTATGAGATTTGCATAGCCGTGTGACCGATTGCTCTTGAACCTATTAATAAAAAACTAACCGTTAGCCAAAAAAATATATCGAGTTAGCAAAACAATAAATTTATTAAAAAACATTTATTTTCTCAAAAAGTGCGTTGTTTTCATGGAGTTGAAAAAGCTACTTAGTGTTACAAAAGGAGACTTAAAATAGAAACAAGATTTGGAAACGTACATTAAACTCATGGTATTTATTTGCATTGGTTATGGAAACAAATGTAAGGATAATAGCAACGAAAATGAAGTTGAAAAATGGGTTGCTATTAACTTCCATTGTGTTTGTGTTTACAAGTGTGTTTGATGTTGCAAAAACTGGTGGTGTATTTATAGTGAATTATACAATAGTGAGATTAGGTTATGACTTATGAGTAGATAGTAAAATAAAAGTTTTGTGCAATATAGTCCAACTATAAAAGGGTTTTGGTGCAACTACTAACTACAAATCAATTGTTTTATCATCTTCACATTTCAAAGTTAATTTTTTTCTAGAATAGTTGATTCATTGGAACCATTTTTACAAGCTAAATAAATCACACGAAGATCGGTTTATGCTATATCATCTTGTGCTATATGAATTAGCTTTGTATAAAGTTTGGCTTGAAGTGCCAACGAGACTACGTCCAAAACAATTCAATTAGAAATGAAATACGTATTCACTAAGTTATGAATTTGAACAGTCAAGTAAAGAAAGTATCAAAGTACCAAAATAAAAAATATATTTATGGGTGTAAAATGTCAACATGGAAAGTAAAGATTGGACTTGTAATGTGTACAAGTATATATATAGAATATTTATTTACTTTTTGTTAATTGACTCACTCCTTTAGATCATAATATATTAAAGTTAAAAGTGCCAAGTGTGAGCATAACAACAAATGCAAAATGTGGTTGGTTTTTTTTTCTAGATATATAGTTTAGTTAGGATTGTTCTGTAAACAAATTACATTTAAACACTATATCAATGAATTCTTTTACTTTTTATAAAAAAAATTAAAAAATAAAGTATATTTGAATATTTATTTCTAAAATGAAATTAATTGTAAATACACTTATTACGTGTAATTTGCTTCTTTTTTTTTACTATAAAACTGACTCAAGGATCACAAGTTCGTGAATTTCCACGTGAGAATTGAAACTATGATTTTATGAAATTAAATAAACAATTAACAAAAGGCATCGTATACATCTAAAAAAATATGTAACTCATTTATTTATTTATTATATTTTTTAACAACTAAATGATTTTAGAGAAATCAAATATCTTTTTATTTTTTTTTCCTATCATCTTCCTACACATTTAAGATTTTAACACTTGTCGTATTTAATAAAATTAATAAATTTTTATTACATTTATCGTTAGGAGAGTGGATAAAAAGAATAAGTAGGAAGATATTTAATTTCTCATGATTTTATTAAAAATAGGAAGATAAAGGTCTTGTATCAAGATAAGCAGAGGCAACACCAAGCCCAAGAATCAAGGGCACATCAATACCTCTTCGATCCAAGTTAACCGAGGATGGTAAATGAATCAATTTTAATCTCCAAGTCAAAATATTTACCTTTAGGGGCATAAAAGAATTACATCTAGTTGAATGACTTCCATCTGGCAACAAGAAGTCATCAATATCCTTTTGCAAGTCAACCGTGATAGTTTATGCCTTAGAGCAAAACCAACATAGAGTCAAATTGAGTTCTTTCCATGCCATCTCTCAAAGGACGTCGACACTTCCAACTCCATAAATTATCAACCCAAAGATCCAAAATACAACCATCTTTTACTAACTCCAAATTAAACACTCTCTAAAATAGTGTGATAAAAAGAATATGTCCAAGCCACAAGTCCTTCGAAACATCAACATTTTTAACTTGTTTAATCAAAATTGTCATGGAAAATAACTTTCTTTTCATGCATTTTCTGGAGAGCCGAGGCTATCTTCTGTCACACCCCCAAACCTCTCAACCGAGAATCATGCAATCTTAAACCTCCATGATTATTATATTAATTGTGTTATTTTTATTTTTATTTAATCAAATTGATGACCGCTTTTCCAACAAACTAATGGTAGAATGAATAATTTCATAAAAAGTGATACACTTCAACTTGATTAAAAAATGGAACAAAATCGATGAAATTTATTATATAGATACAAATACAAATTTAATCTACTTTGCCTCTAATGAAATTAAAAAGGAACATAGATTTCAAAAGTAGTTAAGGATGCTTGGCTTCAAGCCTTCAATTAAGGCAACAATTAGCACCGGACAAACAACTCTTAACAAAAATTATAAAATCCAGAGACAAACACACTTTAAATGCTCAACGTATAAGTCATTACAACATGACTGGTCTAAATTTGACCATAACTTAATCTGGAAAATAGAACCTACATTCTTAATCAGAAATCAATTAATTCAACTATTCAACAATAGCAGTTGTAGCTTTGATCTACATTTGTCAAGTGAAGTACCTAACCAATGAATCTTTCGGTGAGTAAGTAGTTAACAAACCTAAAATGGGTAGACCTGGAAATGGAGCGGGTTTGGAGCGAATCGACCTTGATTCAAATCATTTTAACAAATTTCAAAATCCAATCCAAACCCGCTCCGTAACCCGCAATGTTTTGAATAATCAAACTCATTCTCTTATCCACCAAATCAATGGATATCCAAACCTGTCCCGTCACCCATTGGTTTTTTGAATAATCAAACACATATTACTTAATACTCAAAATAACATTTCTTAAATAAAAAATTGTATAATATATGTTAATACTTAAAATAATATTTTTTTTAATAAAACAAAAGTTGATTTAGAAAAAAACATTACATACTTGAAGAATTTCAGTTGGAATTAAAAATCACTATTACAACAATTTTCAATTGATTTATGACTTTAGATTGCAATGATAGCAAATAACAATTTCAAACATTTTTCCTGTTAGTAAATGATTTTATTGAATTATAAATGGAATTGACGATTTCTTGATGTATATAAATTGAATGACATTATGATTCTTGGTAGAGGTCTATAAGTTTAGAAGTTGACTTTTCGAGTCCTAGGTAAAAGTGCTTTTCCTTTGAACTTTCTATTGAAATTAAAATTAAACATTAAGTAGTATAAAGTATAAATGTATAATTCTAAAATTTATATGGGGCGGGTTATAAACGGAGTGGATCGGTGATGATTTGTACCGACCCTTTTAATAAAATGGTTAGCGAATATGAGTCGTTAACGGGTAAACGAATCAAAAACTACGTTCCAAACCCATATAATTCTTACGGGTTTGGATCGGATCAGGTTCAAAATTCGCTTTATTGTCAGGTCTAAAATGGGTGAAAGAACCATTTTACAAAAAACAAGAAAAACACTTTTTTCTTATTGTTTTGGTATTAAATATATTCATTATTTATAAGATTTAAAATAAATAAATAAATATTAACAGTCAATTTAATTTACCAAATGACGACCATCTCCATCTCCTTTGGAAGGTCGGAGATCCGAGAAAGACTTTGAACCGGTCCAAGAACTTTTTTATATCATTGAAGAGAACGGGTCCATGTTTACGTATCATGGATTAATAAAACAAGAAAAACATTTTGTTTACTTCACCAATATTTTCGTTCAAATACAATGAAAACTAAATTGTATTAGCATGTAGTTGATTTTAATTAAGTAACGTTTAATACGTTTATTTGATGAATTATTATCTTGGTTTATTGGATAAAATAGAAGATTTTCTTTACAATACTAGATTTGGTTGAAGAAACTAGTCCTCTAATCTTGAGCAACAAAGATTACCTACGTCCAATTATGTTTGAACTTTAACTATTTAATTTAAAAGTTATTTAATAGTTCGAGCATCCTAGATGGGCAAGCTACTAGATCAAATTTCATTCGGTAATTGATAATAAATAGAGAGAGGTTACGATTACAAACGAATGAAACTTTAAAAACAATTATTTGGAAAATGATTTGTACACAGCAATTTTTCTTCATATACAATAATTTATATTTGGATAAATTACATGGATGGTCTTGTGGTTTGGGTAATTTGCGTGTTGTTAGTCCTTTAAATTCTTTTTTAACTCGGACGGTCCCTATGATGTATTTTTGTTGCGTGTTGTGTCCATGATAGACCTAAAATGACTATATTATCCTTATTTATTTATTTTCTTTGTATTTTTCTGATTTATTATTTTATAAAATAAATATAAAAATTAAAATTAAAAAGAAAATCCTAAACCCCCTCATCTCTACCTCTCCCCCTCTTTGATTAGAGCTCTCCATCCCCATCGATTACATCCCTTCCTCCCCTTCTTCATCATCATCGTCTCTGACAACCATCATGGCCACCACCGTCTCTCGCAGCCACCATCGTCTCCGATATATTCCAACAATGGTGCTTGCTTCTACAACAATTTTCATAGGATGCAGCTAATGAATATCAAACCAAATCAAAACCCAAACAAACCAAATTAAAATTAAACTTGTTACCTTGTAGTCAAAACTCAACAAATTCAAAATCAAAATGATGAAAATCAACTCCATCATGTATCTATACACTAGACATCGTCGGAAATACCTTGTCGAAAATTTCCTGCCGGAAATCATTGCAAACGACATCACCTACCAATCTGCTTCCTTCCTTCACATATGCAGATGAAATCAATTAGTTGGGGTACAAATCTAGAAAAAAAGACGCAGAGAAAATCCAAAAAAAAACCTAATACATCAATTCAAACCCTAGATATCCCTAAATAAAACGCAGATCCTCCGCCACTGTCTGTAATTCTTCTTCGATCCCTATCACAAATTTGAAGAACGCCACGCACCACCATCATGAGGTCGATCGTGAATGGAAGGAGGTAAGAAGAACGCCACCTCCATTTCTCGATTTATTTCTCAAAAAACGTCATGGTAGTCATCGACAGGAACTAGGGTTTCTATACCTTCATTTTTTGTTCCTATTAATCGGAAAAAAACATGACATCAACGAAGATGGTTATTGGTGGATCGAGGCGGCCTACTGTTTACCGCCACCGTCAGCGACATCCAAGAGGTTGCAAGCTCTGGTAGCAATGGTGTCGATTGAACTTAGAGAAAGACACGGAAAAGAAGTAAACATATGGTTAGAAAAACATAGGGTTTGGGATATCAATGGGGTGGGTTTGGGGGTTTTTTATTTTTGAAAATATAAACAATTAATAAAATATTTTTTAAGAAAAAATAACAAGGGCAATACAGCCATTTCAGATGTAGCAGGTGATGGAAATCATAGGTTACAACAAC